AAACTCATCGGATACGTCGACGACCTCCAAGCACATCTTCCACAAGGTTTGGCTAGGAACATGCAGGCCGTATCCACTGTAACGAATTGGATTCAGGAACGTCTCTTCCAAAAAGGATTGAGCTCAGTCTCCCGAAATCCAAAGTGCTTTTCCCGGAAGGTCTTTGCATGTCCTCTTCGACAGACGACGAACAGAACAGTTGACGAATATTGGTCTGTCTGTCAGTTGCTGAAGGTGGCATGCCAGTAGTCGGGATCCCAGTAGGAACAGAAGAGTTCCAGAGAAATATCGTTTCCAAATTCGCCTGTGGTGACCCGGCGGAATTGATACTTCGCCTAGTAACGCTTGACGACCCTCAAGCCAGCTATCAACTGCTTCGTTTATCTGGTGTGCCACGTTTGTTTCATCTGCTGAGGACGATTGCACATGATGATGTGGGCAATGAGTAAAATCGTCCTTGGCAAGATGGCCGACANCCACAGGTGTACCTACCCATGCGTGAAGGAGGACTAGGAATCACGAGCAATGTTCTTATTNTAAAGAAGTTTGCGCAGGCCCGACGAAGAGCGAGGAGGTAGATTTCTTCAAAGGGACAGCTCGGCCACAGGTGTACCTACCCATGCGTGAAGGAGGACTAGGAATCACGAGCAATGTTCTTATTCGAGAATCATCTTTTGTGGCAGGGCAAGCGCTGGTGTTCTCCATGTCAGTGCAAGCATCGACAGGATACACAGGTGAGCAATGTCTACCCGCCTTGCCCAGCTACCGACAGGATTGGCTCTGGTTGACCCACTCAAGAAGCTAGAGGAGATCGTCACCAAAGACAAGCTTGAAAAACTTGTTGGGCAGTCATGGGCTAAACTTGCCATAAGTGATGAGTAAACCCCCGCCCTCAAAGGAGTTTGGAAGCAGGGAAAGCGGGAAAATCCAGTAAAGATGGAAACCCTGACGTAGAACATCAACCACCGTCTACCTACAGCCGAAATGACTAGCAAGTCATTGGAGCCCAAGCTTTCCTTTCGAAACCTTTTCATGCAGCAGTGCGTCACATGGTGGAGACAGACTTGCAGAAGGTAGCAGGCGAGGAAATGTCAAAGAAGATGACATTGATCCGCTTGGAGGACGCGAAAGGCAAGGGAGTTTTGTCGTGGATAACAACGCAAGGGTTGTCAGCAGATGAAATGATGCTGCCTGATCTATATCGAGAGTCAATCGGTCGTGTACTGGGGAGTCACGATCGAGCAGACTGCAACACAGGCAAACTTTGTGGTGCAGGTGCATTGTTACCATGCAACGACCGCTTGAGCCGAGCCCACTCCCTCGTCTGCACCAAGACCGGCGCCTCAACCTTCCTCCATAACAGGATGGTT